GCAGAAGAGTGGGTGGGTTCTCACTCTTAGCCTCTCCCCCCACAACACACACAAGCCTAAACTCCATCTTCCCCCATCCTGTGCCCACACCAGGAGCAGACTCTTTGGGTCTCCAGGAGAAACCAAGCCTTGATTGTTAGGCTTGTGAGGAAAAACAGAAGAGAGGGGAGCCACCCCCTACTCTGCTGCCCTCTGCCTTCCTAGTGCAGCCCCTCTGGTTACTGAGACTCAGCTGGGGACCTGAGGCCTGGAGAACTTCCAGGAATTCAAGCCACAAATCTCTTTTGGAAAGACCCCCCTCCACTCCTCACAGACCTCCCCCACGATCCCTACTTCTGCCCTGGCACCCACCCATACCTGGAGCATCTCCTTTCTGAAGGGCACTCTTTCTCAGTCTTGGGTCTTTCTGAGGTGTCCCTTCCCAGGACTGTCAAAGACTTGTCCCACCTATGGAAATGGACGGTGGGCCGAAGATCTTGGCTTTCTCCTGGCCTTGCTTACTACTATTTTCTGAGAATGGGGGTGGGGAATGGATGGAAAGGATGTCCCCCTCTCAAGCCTTGCAGAGTCTCTCCTGGCTTTCGTGTCTTTGATTTACTGAGGGATAGGGGGACTGGGTGTCACATCTGTGGGCTCCCAGTGAGCAGGTGGCTCCTGATAATCATGTCACCTCATGAAACTTGACCCCCTACTCAGGCCTGCACAGTTTGAATTCCTAATATTCATGTAGCAGACATGATTCAGATCATTAGCGCAGGAGGAGAAACTGAGGCAAGAACAGAATGGCCTGGAGCCTGCCTTAGGCACCCTAGGGCAGAATTAAATCTTATGCTGTTACTAACTATCTCTATAACCTTGGGCTAGCTGTCCAGTGCTGTACACCGCAGTGAACAACCACCACAGAGACAATAAGACGACGTCTGACCGGGCTTGGTCACACAAAAGCAACGATCAGCCTGGCTAAGCCACTCACACCTAACTCAATGAACTTACCCAGAGAAGAGGGCTTCAGAGCACCTGTCACTTGGTCCTCAGCCGGTGGGGAAGCAACACAGAAGGCAGATCAGAACCCAGAGGGTCAGAGAACCAGGTAACTGTGACTAGCCAGCAAGGCGGCAGGCCAGGGCAGGTGAGAAGACTGGGGTCACGTGGTCCAGACACCACACACAAGCAAGGTAGCACGTGTCTGCATCTCTGGTAGCCCATCCTTTCTAGAACCAAGCACAGACGGACCCACGTAGACCTCTGAGAAGTCTCCAGAGTGACAGGTTCAACATCACTATCTGACAGGTGAGGAAACTCAGGCCTTCTTTTGGATGCCACCTGCTTCTCACCTGGGCAGGATCCCCACACTTGCTCCTGAGAGACTCTGCTTTACTGAGCTGCAATTCTAGGAGCTGCTGTAGCCCATCTCCAGACCTGGTGGGACTAGCTCCAGGGCAAAAAAGAGCAAAGAAACATAAGGCAATTTCTGAACACAAGACCTCAATAAGCAGCAGGTGGCAATGGAGCGCACCTTAAATCCCAGTACTTAGAATGCAGAGGCAGGTGGATCTCTGTGGAGCCAGACTGGTCTACAGGGTGATTTCCAGGACAGGAAAACAGGAAGGACTACATAAAGAAAGAAACACACACACACACACACACACACACACACACAGAGAGAGAGAGAGAGAGAGTTCCATAAGCCTAGAAGTGTGCTAGAAGTGTGATTGCCGAGAAATAAAGGTGACTTTGTTTATTTAGACAAAGTCTCACACAACCCAGGCTGGCCTCAGGGAGGGATAACCTTGAACTTCAGTTCCGCCTGCCGCCACCTCTTAAGTACTGTGGCTGTAGGCCAGCACCACCACACCCAACCTTACATGGTCCTGGGGGTTGAACCCAGGGCCTCCTGTGTGCTAGGCAAGCATTCTACCAACTGAGCTACGGCCCCAACCTCAAGATGTCTTTTTAAAAATGCCCTTAGCCGTGCTAAGGCGCTAAAGTCAATGTCAGCCTGCTCTCCTGGAGGCTGTGTCAGAGAAGAACCCAGAAGGGCTGCAGAGATGGCTTGCTGCCAAGCCTGACAACCTGAGTTCAATCCCTGGAACCAAACCAACTTCTGGAAAATTAACCACAGACCTCCACATGCACAGTGCACACGTGCACCACACACACACACACACACACACACACACACACACACACAAATAATAAATAAGTAAATCACTAAATAAATTTAAAATTGGGTCTCACTGTGTACCCCCTGCTAACTTAGAACTAACTCCCTGTGTAGACCAGGTCTCAAACTCACAGAGTTCCACCTGTCTCTGCCTCTTAAGTGCTGGAATTAAAGATGTGTGCCACCAGGCCTGGAATAATTTTTTGTTTTAGTCTGAAACAGGGACTGGGGAGGCAGCTCAGGGGTTAAGAGAACTTACTGCTCTTGCAGAGACTGGGGTTCAGTTCCTAGCACCCATGTGGCAGCTCACAACTCTCTGTAGCTCCAGTTCCAGGGGATCTGACTTCCTCTTCTGGTCTTCATGGATTGTGCATGCATGTAGCACACATACATAAGACATACATATAAGCAAAATACTCATACATATAAAATAAAAATGAAAAAAAATCTTTTTTAAAAAATCTGAGATGGACTGGGGCTGTTGCTCAGGAGCAGGGTGTTGGTCTCACAGTACGACATCATGGGCTCAGTCCCCAGTATTGCTAAGGATCATGCCTGAAAAGGACAGCAGCGACCCTAAAACGTCAATGTGGAATTACCATGTAACCCAGCATTCCAGGCAAGGGCTGAACGGGGTCAGATAAGCATATGCACTTTGGGGGGGGGGAGTAATGGTACAGTATATCATAGCAGCCCCAGAATAGAAGCCCAAGGGTCCACAGACAGACAGGGGGGACAAAATGTGGTCCCCTTAGCGATGGAATATTATTCAGTCTTCAAAAGGAAGGGAATCCAGGCACATACTGCAGCTGTACCTGCTGAATAAGTTGAATAAATTCCAAGCGGTGAGCCAGGCCAGGCACAAAGGGCCCCACGCGGCTAGCCTGATCGCTTGTCCCTAGAGTCTTTGCTCCACAGGATGTGGGCTCAAGGGGGTGGGGGAGGATGAGTCAGCATTTAAGGGGACAGAGTTTCAGTCTGAGGTGAGAACATTGTGGAACTGGATGGTAGGGAGGCAGCCCAGCAGTGAGAGTCGCTTCTCTCCTTCTATCGTGTGGATTCCTGGATTTGAAGTTAGGCAGTCAGGCCAGGGTCGTGCTCTGTGTCTTGATCTGGATGGCAATCCTCTTTTTTAAAGACTGAGTCTCCCTATGTAGCCTTGGGTAGCCTGAAACTCTAGGCTGGCCTCACAGAGATCCTCCTGCTTCTGCCCGCTGAGTTCTGGGATTAAAGGCGTGTGCCACCAAGCTCAACCAATTTTATGGGGTTTTGTTTTGTTTTGTTTTTAAGGAAAATATTAGCCGACCTCCTCCTAACTCTGGAGGCCTGCAAGAGTCACCTTCTTGGAGGCTCAGCAGACCCACCTGCCAGGCCTCCCCCACCCCCCACCCGTCTGCATAAAGGGATTGCTGAGGCCAGAAGATGGATTTAAATCGGGAAAGCCTTGCTGTGATTTGTAAAGCTTACCCTGGGCCCTGCCCAGAGGAGAGCCTCCTCCCCCACTCAGGCCTAGAACCCAATTTTCATGCATTCTTATTCTTATGACGATGAAGCTGTTGAACTCTTAACTGCTAAACTGGCAGCTAGGTGAAGTGCTGCTCCCAGGGAGAAGTGGCTATTCAAGGGAATGACAGGGGACTTTTGAAAACACAGGTCATGCAAGGTCACACTCTGAGGGTCACTGGCCTGGGCCTTGACTGCACGCCTCAGTTCTGAGCCTTGTCCCACCCACTCACCTGTTAGCCTCCACTCACAGCCTACTGCAGTGTGATTTGTGTGGAGACTTTCAACGCCCCGTTGAAAGTCTACACACATGTAGACCAGCACGTACTGTCAGCCCAGTCCTATGGGAGCCATGCCATCCCAGACTTTGCTCAGCCTCTTCTCAAAGGACCTCCTCCTGCCTCTGCTGGCACTCTGTAGCACACGTGGGTCCTCAACCCTCTTTGTAGCTGAGGATGACTTTGAACTTCTGGTTTCCTGCTTCCGTCTCCCTAGAGCTGGGATTGTAGGTGAGCACTGTCACGCCACACCTGGGTCGTTCAGTGCTAGAATCTGGGGTCTCGTGTATGGCAGACAGACACGCTACCAAATGAGTCACATCCACAGCCCACAACTTCAGCTCATTTTGTAGACTGGGACACGGAGAGCAATCTGCAATGAAAGGTCACTTGTGACCAACAGGCTAGAGGCAGGACTTGAACCCAGAGTTGGTGGCTGCAAGATCTTCCTATGTTCCAAGTTTGTGATAGACTCAACATTCAGAGTCGTGGCAGGGCAGAAAGGCTCAGGGCCTGAACTCAGCTAAGCTAAAGTCACCTGACTCCATTCTGTCTGTCCCAGGCACTTAGAAGTTTTAGCTCTGAGTCCAGCAGTGAGTAGAGGAGTTGCTCCAGGCTCCGCAAGCACTGTTGAACACCTACTGAGTCTCAAGTTCTGGAGTTAGGCCCAGACTGTGGTCACACCATGATGGGAACAATATCAGCAGGGCAGGGACACACAATAAATGAAGACTTCTGTAGTGATCGTTTTGTTTTTTTTTTTTTCTTTTTGAGAATTCTCTAGCCCAGGCTGGATTGGAACTCACAATATAGACCAGGCTGGCCTCAACTCAGAGATGCACCTGCCTCTGCTTTCTGAGTGCTGGGATTAAAGGTGTGGACCGCCAAGCCTGACCCCAGTAAGACTCTTAAGAGCTGCGAATTGGCAGCAAATGGAGTGAGCAGAAGCACACGGGCATCCTGGAGGATGCTACCCTAGGGCAGGCTAAGCAGGAGTCATGGCCAGAAGATCTCTGGATCTTCCTTCTAGGGAAAGGGAGGGAAGCTGAACAAGCATGACATCGGGGTACGACGACAGGCTGGGGTCAGTCCCTGAGGCTCTGATCCTTACCCATGCTTCCATATTCTCCCTGCCCTATGAACACGAAGGGTGAGGGGCCTGCAACAGTTACTGCAGGTTTTCCAGCCACAGCCAGACGCAAAAACCAGACCCCAGGGCAGTTCGATAAGAGTGCCCAATCCTAGCCCCCACCACTTGTCTCTGCTATCAAGAGCACCCAGAAAGTGAGGTAGCCAGCGACTCCTCTTGTAGTGAGAGTCAAGGGTGCATCCCCAGATTGAGGTGGGGGTGGGGAGCCTGCTCACCACCAGCAGCATTAGTACAGGGCAATGACCCTTAGGTCTGATCAGAGAGCACCCAGGAGCGCTCAGACCAAGGCCGGCAGCTCACCTCCAGTGACACTTCACAGCAAGGAAATTAGGGACCCGTAGGTGGGAAGAGATGTGTCCCAGCAGGGTGTGTGGGGCGGGAGCCCGAAAAAGCCCAGCAGCAGCTCTACAGGCCACTGGAGGCCCCAGAGATCCCAGGCTGCCAAGTGCATTAGGATGCCTCATCAAGGGATTTGGAGACATGGCGTAACCCCCCACTAAGGACTAGGTAGTCTCAGGACCTGGCTCCATTCCCTTTGGTGTTCTGAGTAAGGTCCAAGAATGATTGGTGCAAGCCCAAGGACCGAGGGTAGGAAGAAGCCACGACCCCCTGAGAAGGCTCTGATGGCAAGCACTGTTTGTGCAGTCAGGGGTGTAGCAGGCTCTGAGCCCCCCCCCCCCCCCCGGGCATTGCAGCCTGGTCACCTGCTGGCTCCAGGCTCCTCAGCTACCCACAGAACACAGAACAGGGACATTCACACCTAGGTGCGCATTACCAGGGCTCTGCCCAGTAAGCCCCATCAAGCCATAATGGCCACAGCGGGGGCGGGGGGGGGGTGCTGGTGGGGGAAGGGACCCTTCCAGAGCCCTTCAAGAGTTGGAGTGCTACCGGGTTGGAAAAGTCTGGCCTCCACATCTGAAAATCCTTGTTTTGGAGTTGGAGGGAGGGAACTGGTGACTCCAAGAGTCCAGTGCCCCGTCAGTTGTCATTCTGTCCTTGCCTTAGGTGCCTGGGAGGGGAGCGCAAGTCTGGGCTATCCCCGGATGTCCTTAACTCGATTTCGCTTAGAAGCGCCCACTCCGTGGTTGTTGCTCAGGCTTCGTCCCTCCACTTGGCAGACCTGGAAACTTCCAAGCTTCTGGGACCATCCTAGACTTGGTTCCCCACCGATCGTGCCACCGTTGGAGTTTACCCCGATAACTAAACTACAATGTGGCTAGGCTGCTTCCCACCCTCAGTCCAGGCCAATCCTTGGCGCACCAGAAAGGATCCAGATTCTGGTGGGTTCCCAAAGGTCCTCGCGCAAGGAGGAAGGACCAGAGATGCTCCGTGGAGCCAAGAGCCGAGGGGCGGGACTAACAGGTTCGAGTGCTGGGCGGAGCCAAAAGCTAGGGGTTGGGGTCTCTCCAGGTGACAGTAGGCACCACCCGGTCCGCGCCTCCTCCCCCGGCGGTGATTGGCAGGCGGCCTGCGCCCCGGCTCCCAGTCGACCGACGCCCCGCGGGCCGGCGAGTAGGAGGGGGCGCCGGCTATATATACCGCTGCTCGGCGGGGCTGGGCGCGCGGGGACTGTCCCGCCACCGCTGCAGGCCTGTTTGCTCCCGTAGCC